TATATCAACTTCGGCTCCGCCCGAAGTTAGCTTCTCTTTCTTGTTTTCTCTCATTTCATTTCTTTCTTGTATATATATATATATTTCTTATATTTCTTAAATTCTTCATAGAAAACTTTTTAAATTATATCACATCATGAGTAAAAATCATGCAAATAATAAAAATAATAAAAAAGGCAATCAGCCAAAAAATAAGAAACAACTACCCTTATCATTGACACCAGCATCGGTATTGTCTGCTAAACTTCAACATTATAAGGCAGCAGACATCCATGCCGTTGCTGACGTCAACGATAATGATGATGATAATAATAAAAATAATAGCAACAAAAATAATAATAAAAATACTAATACTAATACAAAAATACAAAAAATAATAATAATAAAATTAAACCAACAACTATTGACAACGATAAAGATAATAATAATGATAGAAAATTTAAAATCTCATCAAATATAAATAATGATGATAATAATTATATCACTGATACCACCGCCACTACCACCAATAATAATGACACTGACATTGGCAACACTACCACCATCGCCATTGACGCCGTCATTGCCAATGACAATGCCACTCCTCCTACTATTACCACCATTACCACCCCTACTTCAATCTCAACCACTGCCATCAGCAACTTTGCTGCTATCAATGTTGTGGCTACTACTACCACCACCACCACCACTACTGATGTGGGCAACATTGATACTTCCGCCATATATGCTGCAACAACAATAAACACTGCTGCGGCCAATAACAATAACAATAATAATAACAACAATAATAATAACGACAACACTAGCATCGATAATAATAATGCTAATACTGTCATCATAACCGATATTTCTTATCCGAATATAATCAATATCGATGATATAATTGAGAAAAATTCAATTATCAATAATATTACTACTACTACTTCTGCCACTACTTTTACCACTTCTTTCACTTCCACTATTACAAACAATACCAACACCACCACTAATTTTACAAACACAAATATTAACAATAATAATAATTATGTTAATCCATCAACATCAACACCATTATTATTACAACAACAAACACCAATTGATATTGTAAATAATCCAATTCAATATCAATATCTCATAATACAACAACATGATGAACAACAAAATCAACAAAATCAATTATTTTTATTGACCACAACATCTGCATCATCAAATATACCAACATCAGAATTAATAACAACATCATCAACAATAATGGCAACGACGACGACAACGGCTACGACAACGACAACGACAATGACGTCATCGGCAATGACAACGTTAATGGCACCACCATCCATGCCATTATCACGTTCACAGCCACCGTCAACGTCACCGTCACAGTCGCCGTCACCGTCATTGTCAATATCGACATCACCATCATTGGAACAATTATTAACATTGTCACCATCACCGCCGCCACAGCAATGGCAGCAACAATATATACAATATAAAAAACAGCAACTAGATCAACAGCAACAACAACATCGACAACAATGGTGTTATTATCAACAAAATCAACAAGAACAGCCACAATTGTTGCAACAGCAACAACAGCAGCAACAACAACAAATTTGGTGGCAACATCATCAAAAGCAACCGCTGCCGCTGTCGATGCCGATGACACCACCACCCCCGCCACCACCACCATTGGCACCATTAACAACAGCAACAGCAACAATAACAAATCAACAACATTTACAATTGTTGCAACTCCAGCAACAGCAACAACAACAACAACAAGCTAATCAGCTTATATTATCTCATCCCCAACACCAACCATCATTCATTTATATGAATGAACCAAATCATCCCCAACAACATATCATATCACAAATGCAACATCAACAACAACACCAGCAGCAGCAGCTGCAACAACAGCAGCAGCAGCAGCAGCATCATCATCAACGACAGCAGCAGCAGCAGCAGCAGCAGCAGCAGCTGCGTCAACGACAGCAGCAGCAACAACAACAACAACAACTGCAAAATCATACAACACAAAATGATACTAATCCAAATGACAAGATTAATATTAAAAACAAGAAAGGAAAGCTAACTTCGGGCGGAGCCGAAGTTTATATACCCTTGCAGTTAAAACCGGATATATATCGCAAACATCGGATATAGTTGGCCGATCCTTATCTGAATAGGAATATATAATCCAATTTATTACAATACAAAATCTAAAAAAAGTCCCAAACTTCTATCTTCGAAAATACGAAAGTTGATATTTCTACCAAATACCATTTACGATCGTTCAGTTATATGGCAGCTATGAGATATAGTCGGCCGATCCTAATGAAATTTGGTACGTTGGATCAACTGATTAAAAATAGAATCTGTATTAAATTCCAGCTTTCTATCTTCAAAAACACGAAAGTTGGGTCATTTCCGATCGTTCAGTTATATGGCAGCTATAGGATATAGTCGGCCGATCCTTATGAAATTTGGCATGACGTAATGTTTTGCCAAAAATAGCTCTCATGTCAAATTTGAACTCTCTAACTCTAAAAACACAAAAGTTATACCATTTCCGATCAATCAGTTATATGGCAGCTATAGGATATAGTCGGCCGATCCGGGCCGTTCCGACTTATATACTGCGTGCAAAGGAAAGAAGGGTGTGTGCAAAGTTTCAAGACGATAGCTTTAAAACTGAGAGACTAGTTCGCGTAGAAACAGACAGACGGACAGACAGACGGACAGACGGACAGACGGACAGACGGACATGCTCATATCAACTCAGGAGGTGATCCTGATCAAGAATATATATACTTTATAGGGTCGGAGATGTCTCCTTCACTGCGTTGCACACTTTTGACCAAAATTATAATACCCTCTGCAAGGGTATAACAAGAAAGGAAAGCTAACTTCGGGCGGAGCCGAAGTTTATATACCCTTGCAGTTAAAACCGGATATATATCGCAAACATCGGATATAGTTGGCCGATCCTTATGGGAATAGGAATATATAATCCAATTTATTACAATACAAAATCTAAAAAGAGTCCCAAACTTCTATCTTCAAAAATACGAAAGTTGATATTTCTACCAAATACCATTTCCGATCGTTCAGTTATATGGCAGCTATGGGATATAGTCGGCCGATCCTAATGAAATTTGGTAGGTTGGATCAACTGACCAAGAATTAAATCTGTACTAAGTTCCAGCTTTCTATCTTCAAAAACACGAAAGTTGGGTCATTTCCGATCGTTCAGTTATATGGCAGCTATAGGATATAGTCGGCCGATCCTTATGAAATTTGGCATGTCATATAATTTTGCCAAAAATAGCTCTCATATCAAATTTGAACTCTCTAACTCTAAAAACACCAAAGTTATACCATTTCCAATCAATCAGTTATATGGCAGCTATAGGATATAGTCGGCCGATCCGGGCCGTTCCGACTTATATACTGCGTGCAAAGGAAAGAAGGGTGTGTGCAAAGTTTCAAGTCGATAGCTTTAAAACTGAGAGACTAGTTCGCGTAGAAACAGACAGACAGACAGACGGACAGACGGACAGACGGACAGACGGACATGCTCATATCAACTCAGGAGGTGATCCTGATCAAGAATATATATACTTTATAGGGTCGGAGATGTCTCCTTCACTGCGTTGCACACTTTTGGACAAAATTATAATACCCTCTGCAAGGGTATAATAACAATAACAATACTAATATTAATAGCAATAAAAGAGATAGCATAAAAGCATATTTTCACCAAACTCTTCAGTTTCCGATTCGGAAACAAATGAATATGATAATAATAATATTAAGAAGAAGCAAAAACAAAAACAAAAATCAGTTCATAATACAGAAACCAATGATATGGCTGCCCAATTAATGGACATATTGGATGTAGATCAATTGGGTGGCTTGCTCGATGAGCTGCACCAATTGAGAACTGAAAATACAATATTGAAAAGCCAATTAAATGAAAATGATAATAATGATAATATCAATAATGATAATATACATAAATCAATTATAACATCCAACATGCCCATTATTAGGAAACGTATACATAATAAATCAAATGATTCAGATGAGGGCTTTCCTCAGTTAATAAAAAAAATCAAAAATAAAAACGCCATCGTCACCGCCACCGTTGTTGCAACAATCGTCGTCGGCATTGGATCGTCACTAGTGTTGGGTTGCTCATGAGTGAGTGAACAAAAAAGAGTTGTTCACTCAACTGAGTGAGCGAACTGGTTCCTTCCTTTTTGTTCTTTTTTGTTCACTTGCTCATTTTTGTTCACTTGCTCATTTTTGCTCATTTTTGTTCACTTGTTCATTTTTGTTCACTTGTTCACTTGCTCCCTTGTTCATTTGTGCTTAGTTACTCTTTTTTGCACATTTTGTTCTCATTCAATAAGTACAGAATTTAAACCAAAAATGGAATATTATGGATGGAATTCAATTATTAGGGAGCAAAAGTTTTGCCACAAATTAAAATGTAAAAATATCGGTAAGTTTGAAAATTAATTATGAAACATAATCTAATCATAATCATTGGCTTGGTAATTCACTGAGCAATGAGCAACTGAGCAATGAACAGTGAGCAAGTGAGCAATATGAGTGAGTTGACTCTTTTGAAAAAAAAGAACAAGTGAACATGTTCACCTAAAAGAGCAGTATTTACACAACACTACCAAAAAGCGCTTCTTATATACACTTGTTACCACAACCCTTTCAATTCTAAGAATCAAAGTCTAACGGTATTTCTAACGCTCGCTCTCGCTCTAACTCTTATTGGCAAATGTAAATACCCAAACCTGAAAACATTGCACTTGTCATTTAGTATGGCTAACTTAACGCGGAAGGAGCCACCGCTCTTTATACCGATTCAACGAGAATTCGAAGAGTTCGGAGCGATATGCTTTTCCCGCTCTTCGTAAACCCAATAGACGAAATGGCATGTCGTTCTATCTCCCTCTTTTCAACCCTCGGCGTTTCTGGTATATAAAGAGGTAGCGAAACGGGCAGCACGTTTATTGTGTTATTAGAGGCGCGAAGAGAACAGTGAATTTGGAAATTGAAATGGCTCGTACAAAGCAGACTGCTCGTAAATCGACTGGTGGCAAGGCCCCACGCAAACAACTGGCTACAAAGGCCGCACGTAAAAGTGCGCCAGCCACCGGAGGAGTAAAGAAGCCCCATCGCTATCGCCCCGGAACTGTGGCTCTCCGTGAGATCCGTCGCTACCAGAAGAGTACTGAGCTGTTGATCCGTAAACTGCCATTCCAGCGGATGGTGCGTGAAATAGCTCAGGATTTCAAGACAGATTTGCGCTTCCAGAGCTCTGCTGTGATGGCTTTGCAGGAAGCTAGCTGAGGAAAACCAACCAGCCCAAGACACCGCAAAAAAACCCAAGCCCCCTCCAATCTATATTAGGGAAAAAAGCTCGAGTGCCCTGGTCAACAAAATTGCGTCGTTGATCGGGAACGGTGAAAACTTTCATGTTGTTCCGCTTATCAAAGGGAATATCCATGAAACAAAGGTGCAAACCAAGACTGAAGAGCACTTCCGAATAGTGTCAAAATATCTGGACACTGTACAGAAAAACTATTACACGTACCAGCTGAAAAGCAGTAAGGGCCTACAAGTGGTAGTAAAGGGAATAGAACCTGATGTTACCGCCGAGGAAATAAAAACCGCCCTTAAAGAAAAGGGCTTCGCCGCCAAGAATGTTATTAACATTCTAAATAAAGATAAAAAGCCACAACCCCTCTTCAAGGTCGAGCTCGAGCCTGAAAGCAGGTCGCTGAAGAAGAACGAAGTCCACCCAATCTACAACCTGCAATATCTTTTGCATCGGAAAATCACTGTTGAAGAGCCACATAAACGTAACGGTCCAGTGCAATGCACTAATTGTCAAGAGTATGGACACACAAGGTCTTACTGCACACTTCGGGCTGTCTGTGTAGTCTGCGGGGACGCCCACAAGTCCGCTTGCTGCACTACAAACAAGGACAGTACCGTGAAGAAATGTGGAAACTGCGGAGGCAGCCATACGGCAAACTATAGAGGATGTATTGTGTATAAGGATTTAAGGAGTCGCATGCGTCAAGCGACCGCAACGCGCAACCAAAATCCACAGAATGCGTACGTTTCGTCAAAAACCACGCCAGACGTCTTCTTCGCCAAAGCTGCGAGATCCTCATTCGGTCCACTAAACACCACCAACGGCTTCTCCTATGCCGATGCTCTACGATCTGGAAGGGAAATTCCAATTCAGCCTAACTCTCAAAGCGCTCAACAGGCCCCAGAACAGCCACACAGCAAAACGGAAACTATGATGCTTACCCTCCAACAAAGTATGATGGAGCTTATGTCATTCATGAAAACGACCATGCAAACGCTTCTTCAAAACCAGAACATGGTGATACAGCTGCTCGTAGCACAACAGTCCAAATAATCTATGCAGGCGCTACGAATATCAATGTGGAACGCCAATGGTGTCTCACGGCATAAACTAGAATTGTCACAATTCTTGACCGAAAACCATATTGACGTTATGCTACTGGTGGAAACGCATCTTACAAGCAAATACAACTTTCATATAAGAGGCTACACAATCTACCGCACAGATCATCCAGATGGGAAAGCCCACGGCGGAACTGGAGTTCTAATCAGAGAACGAATTAAACACCATTTTCACAAAAGGTTTGCAACAAACTTCTTGCAGGCCACATCGATACAAATTCAGTCAAGCAACGGAATCCTTTCAATTGCTGCCGTTTACTGCCCTCCTCGCTTCTCAATCTCGGAAGGACAATTTATGGACTTCTACAATTCACTTGGGGATCGATTTATAGCCGCAGGAGACTACAACGCCAAACATACGCACTGGGGATCACGTCTAGTGACTCCCAAAGGAAGACAATTGTACAATGCAATTATAAATGTGAAAAATAAACTGGACTACGTTTCCCCTGGAAGTCCCACATACTGGCCAACAGACTCACGAAAGCTCCCAGACCTTATTGATTTTGCAGTGACAAAAAACATACCTCGCAATCTAATAAGTGCCAAAGCAGTCTCGGACTTATCATCAGACCACTCGCCTGTGCTTCTAACGCTTCTTCAAAGCCCAGAAATAACCGAACACCCCTTCAGTCTGACGACGACAAAAACAAACTGGCTAAAATACAAAAAGTACGTGAGTGCCCACATAGAACTCGCCCCGGATTTTAACATGGAATCGGACATCGACTACACTACGAGCGCCCTGGAAGAAGTACTCGTTGCGGCAGCTAAAATCTCTACTCCTCATAGGAAAGAAGTAGACCGAAACAAACACTTCAAATCTAATCAGCAAATCGAACAGCTCGTGCGAGAAAAGAGGCGCACGCGTCGTGATTGGCAAAACAGCAGATCACCAGCTTCAAAACAACGCCTTAAGGAAGCAACCCGATCACTCGACCAGGCTCTTCACCAACAGGAAGAAAATGCACAGCTGAGGTACATCCAGAATCTCTCGCCAACAAGCACAAAGTACCCCCTGTGGAGGGCCCACCCAAATCTTAGTGCCCCAATTGAAACGACCACCCCGATAAGAAACTCTTCGGGATGCTGGGCTCGCAGCAACGAAGACCGAGCTGAAACATTCGCCACACATCTCCAAAGTGTCTTCCAGCCAAACCCAGCCTCAAATTCATTCCTCCTGCCAGTAATTCAGCCAGAGTCCTCCCCTCAGCCAGCCGCACCTCCATTCCGGCCGAACGAAATCGAAAAAGTCATAAGAGGGCTAAAACCAAAAAAGGCTCCCGGTGGTGACCTATTGACCCCAAAGATGCTGATCGAACTTCCAAAATGCGCTATAGAGGTCGTCTGCAAACTATTTAATGGAATCATTAATCTTGGCTATTTCCCAAAAAAGTGGAAGAAATCCATTATTATAATGATACCGAAGCCTGGAAAAGACCACACAATTCCGTCATCATACAGACCAATAAGCCTTCTATCTTGTTTGTCTAAACTGTTTGAAAAATGCTTGTTAACTCGCATAATACCACATCTGGAAGCTTGCAATATCATCCCGGCACACCAATTTGGCTTTCGAAGAAACCATGGAACCATCGAACAAGTGAACAGATTAACATCCGAAATACGCTCAGCCTTCGAACAACGAGAATACTGCAGCGCTATTTTCCTCGACGTATCTCAAGCTTTCGACCGAGTTTGGCTCATCGGACTCATGCACAAAATTAAAACGTATTTGCCAACATACACCCACAAGCTACTGGAATCATACCTCTTCAATAGGGTATTCTCAGTGAGATGCAACGCAGCTACTTCGGGCGACTACACCATCGAAGCTGGAGTTCCACAGGGAAGCGCACTCGGGCCGTGTCTATATGTTTTGTATACTGCGGATATTCCTACGAGCGCACAACTAACAACGTCAACGTTCGCCGATGATACCGCTATCCTTAGTCGCTCCAGATGCCCAACGCAGGCAACAACCCAACTGGCTAATCATCTCACAATAGTGGAAAGGTGGCTGTCCGACTGGCGCATTAAAATAAACGAACAAAAGTGTAAACATATAACGTTTACTCTTAATAGACAAACATGCCCTCCGCTTTTACTAAACGGTATGCAGATCCCTCAAGCTAACGACATAACGTACCTTGGCGTTCACCTTGATAGACGACTTACCTGGCGTAAGCACATGGAATGCAAAAAGATGCATCTAAAACTGAAAGCCAGCAGCCTCTACTGGATCATAAACTCACGATCGCCACTGTGCCTGGACTACAAGTTACTACTGTACAATTCAGTCCTAAAACCAATCTGGACGTATGGCTCCCAGCTGTGGGGGAACGCGAGCAGCAGCAACATAGACATCATACAGCGCGCACAATCAAAAATCTTGAGAACTATCACAGGGGCACCTTGGTATGTTCGCAACGAAAACATCCACCGAACATCCATTCAATTACAAATGCAACAGCAGCAGCAGCTGCGTCAACGACAGCAGCAGCAACAACAACAACAACAACTGCAAAATCATACAACACAAAATGATACTAATCCAAATGACAAGATTAATATTAAAAATAACAATAACAATACTAATATTAATAGCAATAAAAGAGATAGCATAAAAAGCATATTTTCACCAAACTCTTCAGTTTCCGATTCGGAAACAAATGAATATGATAATAATAATATTAAGAAGAAGCAAAAACAAAAACAAAAATCAGTTCATAATACAGAAACCAATGATATGGCTGCCCAATTAATGGACATATTGGATGTAGATCAATTGGGTGGCTTGCTCGATGAGCTGCACCAATTGAGAACTGAAAATACAATATTGAAAAGCCAATTAAATGAAAATGATAATAATGATAATATCAATAATGATAATATACATAAATCAATTATAACATCCAACATGCCCATTATTAGGAAACGTATACATAATAATTCAAATGATTCAGATGAGGACTTTCCTCAGTTAATAAAAAAATCAAAAATAAAAACGCCATCGCCGCCACCGCCATCGTCATCGTCGTTGTCGCCGTTGGGTCGTCATCGACAGCAACAGCGACAGCAGCACCAGCAGCAGCATCATCATCGTCATCAATCAATCACCAATAATTATTACCGTGATTTGGTGATGGATGTTGTTGAGGATGATGATGATGATGACGTTGCCGATGATGATTTAAATATAAATGATAGCTCCTGCAGTAATAATGCACTCGGCGTTGGCATTGGCGACGATGACAACAATGATAAAACTGATGCTGATGTTGATGATGATGGGGGAATTGATTTGGCAATGGGCCCATCAACATCAACAGCAGCAGCAGCAGCAGCATCATCCAAATCTGCTAAATCTAAACAAAATAAAAAGAATAATAATAAAAAATCTAAAAATAATACTAATCTCAACACTAACATTAATAATAATAATATTAAGAATAAGAAAAATAATTCATCTACAACAACAACAATACCTGCCATAGCTGCTAAAACAGTAACAACAGCAACAACTCCAACAACAGCAACAGCTGCTGTAAATATAAATAGGAAAAATATTAAACCACCAATAATAGTAAGCTATAATCAAAATTTAAAAATTCTCAATACACAAATAGCAAACAAATTGAAACATAACAATTTCCTACTAAATATGATTAATAAAAATATCATAAATATACAAACAAATACATTTAACGATTCTGATTTAATAATTAATATGTTAAAAACTAATAATATTAAACATTTCACATTTACCCCAAAACATCTCAAACCCTATAATCTGATAATTAAAAAATTACCATCTAACATCTATAATGCAGATGACATAACGATGGCTTTAAAACAAAAAATTAACAATA